GCTGATCATAATTATCCCAAATGGGGTAATTATGATCAGTCGGTACCTGCTCGCTGAAAATTGATTAGTACGAATTAACGCTAATGAATTTTAAGATGATTTTTACATCGATCGATAGGTAAGACTCGGCTCCACCTACTTGTGAAATATAACTTTTTTTCGGTGAAAACTGGCTGCAGCGCTGCAAGAATACGAAAAGTGGAAGAATGGTGGGACAAAAGTTGAGCGTTCAAATCGCTATATCTTCCATCTGTCTTCATTTCTGAATCATTTCAAAACACGTTAATTAACATTTTCGTTGTCGTTCACATTCATCAAAAACCGCGTTCTCTAACGCGCTGTGAACTTCCGAAGAACGCCTTTTCAAACGAAAACAGTAAAAAATGCGTTTAAACGACCAAGAAAAACGTTGATTTTGAAACCTTTAACTCGTTTTTTGGCCTTTAAAAAGAAAAAAACGCTGTTCTTTTTCAAGCTTTCCACCCCTGGGATGTTATGTATTGTTTTGATTTGATTTGTCTATTGTTTTACACGATACAGCATAACCATTTGTATGCAAATAAAAACAATTCTGAAGCAAAATCAAATAAATGAATTATTTAAATGCAAACCGGAAGGGATAATATCGCTCAATGCAGTAGATTCATATGCATATTTAGATTCAGACTCAGGTATATCTAATGATATTTTCCTTAAGGGTCCTAAACCATCATTGAATGTCGATGCAATACAAATATGGGATATCATTCAGTACATATAGGAAATGACCTAACTCACTAAATATAAATAACGTTCATCTGCGAGGGGCACTTAAAAACGTTCCCTCGTAGATAACTCAAACTGTTTAAAGTGAAGCAGCTTTAGAATCATCCATTAGATTGATGTACCTGAGAGAAAAGTCTTGAATAAAAATCTTAGTTCAGTCTTGCAAGATTTTTGAGAATTTTATTCGACATAGAAACAAAACAATAAAAGAAATTAATTGCTTTCAACTGCATTATAATAAATTGTGAAAAATCGACTTGTTTTTGTTTATGTAACCCAATAGAAGTGTTTTTTTTTGTTTTAGTATCTTTATTTTTTTTACTATGATTACAGCAACACAACAAACTTTTCGCTTGCCAAGAAACAGAAACCATACCTGCTCTTTAATTGAATATATATCGACTATATTTACAATTCATCAAACACTATCAATTGATCTAGAAAAGATCATATCGAACTCTGTGAGAGACCCATCCGACATGTTCGAAAGCACAGTTACTTAATATAAAAATAAGTACTTCCCACTAATAGTCAGAAAAAAAAGCGTTTCAAGGCCCGGATAGTCGCACCAAATAGTCTCCGTTGATTATATACACAAACTTCCAACATTGCAGATAGAATAACGTAAAACCCAAAGAAACGGAGCTACCTCGAGCATCATCCTTCTACGTACAGGGTAACCGCTGAATAATGATGATAACATTCTAAGATACAAGATAGTCAAATCTAGAAAAACAGCGCTCATGTAGAAATGTTATCATCATTATTCAGCGGTTACCCTGTACGTAGAAGGATGATGCTCGAGGTAGCTCCGTTTCTTTGAGTTTTACGTTATTCTATCTGCAATGTTGGAAGTTTGTGTATATAATCAACGGAGACTATTTGGTGCGACTATCCAGGCCTTGAAACGTAGGGGAGAATAAAAAGGTCTCAAGAGTATTTTTCCGTAGAACTAATACAACTTCTCCGAAGAAAAGTTAATGAATATAGCTGTATTTGACCTTTACATTTCATTTTATTTTAAGAAATAGTATTGGTACATTGAGCTTCGTGGGGCCATTAACTTTAAATATTTGGATAAAAATTCATTTCCTGCACATTCCATATAGATCATATCGTGTGTCAGAGCGGTGGGCGGCACATGAGTAAACGGTGTGACCTTGGATATTTGAAGAATCTGTTTTAATAATTCATCAAGTATCCTTTTATGAGAATCATTTAATACAAGTTTAGGTTTAGGTACATTCCGTTTTTGAACTATTCGTTTGGTAAATAGTTCAGTGGAATGTAAGATCAATGTGTAGAGTAACTTGTAGAGATACATTTGAAGGTATAACGGTAGATAGTGTCGTGTAAACAAAAAGATTTCGACTACGAGGTTGATTATGACTGACTGATAAGTATACAATTCGGCTGATGTTGATTTTGGTTGATTCATTGCTTTGTAGAAATATAGACAAGCCATCAGCATACTGTGAGCATACAATGTTCTACTGCCAGTGACAGCCATAATTAAATCAATGTAAGAGTAGGCCGCTTCTAACGGATTAGTGTTGGCTGTTCGTTTCATTATGGCACGTTCATATTTCTTTAACATCAGTAAACGTTCGATTCGTCTTAAAAATGTTAAATTTAATATGTTGATTGGTGGCGTAATATCAGCTACAGATAAAGAACATTGATTAACTGACGTAGCGTTGAATGAAAATTTGAATGATTTATAAATAAGATGAGACTGTCCATGACACTTTCATATGGATGAGAGAGAAGTGCATCATGTGCACTCTGCAACGACTGAACAGAGTTATTTTCAAGTTTAAAGATCATCACCTGGATCAAATACATTTTTGAACGATATTCTAACTGTTGCACTTCTAACAGTTGTAGACGGCCAAGACATTGATAAAATAACTGTTTTAATTGTTGGAGAAAGTAGTTGTTTGAATTTAACAGTACTTGCATAGTTTCAGGACAGGATTTGTAGGTGCTAGATTTCAATTCATTGTATACTTCGATGTTTGATTTAATGAGCAGAGGTTGATTCAGTGCCGTTAAATTACGTATAGATTCTGTGGACAAATTATCAAATGGTAACAGAATGTGTACACCACCATTGACTAATCGATCGTTTTGACCGCTGTCGTTATTTGTTTTCCAAAGTTCATTTACGATTAAAAGATGATATTTAAATAAATCTGTGTTTTTGAATAGATTATGAACGTCATATATTTTAATGGCTGATGTAATAAATGGACGGATGTGTGGATTATTTCGTTTTGATAAGACCATGCAGATGTTATAAAAGGTATTATTGCATTGTACACCGTTGTTTTTGGATAAGACCTAGAATGAAGATAAACACATGTTTTGTTTTTTAGAAGATAAGACGTCGTTTATCACCGATTTTCCGGAATCAACATATATGCGAATTTTAACAGATTCGAACAAAATCAAAAAAGACCGATTCTATTTCCTGAAGTATGTCTCTCAGTTCGTACCGTAGTTAACCGTCATAAAATAAGTAAAAATCGATCTCTAGCACTGACGTCGATCTGGACTTTCACTCATAGAGTTTTTTATACATAACCACTTAATATGAGGTCTATATCTGAGTTTTTCCTACTGAAAATATATCGGACGAGCGCCATGACAGTGGCTTCATCTCTCACCCTAGGGTTATTGCCTCGTAATCGTTTATAGACTGTTGTATAGTAAAGCAATGCTGTTGACAATGATAATTTGGATGATTGAGCTTGTTCTAAAATAATTTTATCCAGATTCCTGTCTTCACAAAATAGATAACAGGTTAATGCAATTATATACTTTTCAGTCGTAAAGTATCGATCACCCAATTGTTTCCAATCATACGGCTTTTCCCCATCATTCATCAACTCATATGCAGTTGGACCTAAATCTTCAATACCATTGATATACCATTGTGTATCAGTACTTCCCATTAAATATTCGGCCGTTTTATGACATACCATAGCTTTATAATACTGCTTTTGTTTGATGTACTCGTTCTTATATTCCATCCACGATGAATATTTGTAGATATGAGCGACGACGAGTCCAATAACACTTCGATTTATGTCAAACGTTGATGTTTGGCATGCATCACTGGAGGAAACCAATATTGACACCAGTTAGTTTGTTTGTTTTTTTAAATTTATCAATTCTTTAGCAAATCTTTATTCTATCCACCTTTTATTAATTCTTTTTACATTTGTACGTGTGGCGAAGCAAGAGCAACTCGAGTCTACAAATGTCTGTGGTGGTACTGCACAGAAGAAAAACAGTATTATTTTGTTGTTTTTTGTGTTTTAAGCCTCGTTTTTCTTTCATCGTGAAGTGAAGTCTCGGATACTGAGTGACGGAAACTGGAAATCTCTAAAAATATAAAATTTTTATAAACACAAAATAATTGAGAAAATGACACGCGTATTTATCCGGTAAATAAAAAACAACAAAAGGAACAGCACAGTACAAAAAAAGGCGCGCAACATTTTTACTTTTCACGTATGAAAATCTAATAACGAAAAAAACTGAAACTTGAACGAATGTGGCAATGTAACAGAAGATAAAAGTAATGAACTATCAGAAAAACCTTTAGTAGAGAACATATCTTTCCGACAGAAAAGAAGAGTTTTGAAATGTCCTTCAAAAACCAAATGCATAACATCATACGGGATTTGAATTGGTAATAAAAATATCGTTGACAAAGGTGAAGGGCCTTTAATCCCTTTGATAATGTGATGTTTGTTTGCATGTTGACCAGTTTCTGTATAAAATTCATGATTTTTGGCTGGAGCGTTTCTCTCAGAATAAGGAAAAAAAATCATGTTTCGATGATTTGGGATTCTCTGATCTTCTATCTGACAATTCCCACACCCATAATAGCCATTATATTGCACGATATATAAAAAATGACACCAGGCGGGGAGATCGAATACGGCTAACTGCAATCGTACATTGAACATGGTCGATTTGCCATTTGAACCACGAATAACCATATTATTCGTCATCAATTCTTGTAATTGTAAAACAATAGGACCAAGTAATAGATCACGATCTGGTTTGTCCTTAGAGGGCCAACATCCGAACAGCATTACTGCATTACGATGGTCTCGGGCAGGTGCAGGAATTTCTACGATGGTTGCTTGAATCGGTCAAAGAGATTTCTCTACGATAAAAAACCACTTTATAATCTTTGATCCAAGAACGCCTTTTTCGTCTTTATAATCTTTCCGAGTCCTTTTTTAAATAACTCAAAAACAATAAAAGATAGAGATATGCCATTTTCAGCAATCGAAAGACGACAATTTAAGCTATACTTTCCGAAGCAAAATCGTCTTTCGAAAACATTCCAAAGACCGGTTTTCTACAAGGTCTTTGAAAAACAAGCGCGGATTTCTAGAAACCGACATAGTAATCTATCGTTCTTTTTTCGTCGATAGATACAACAAATATAGATACAAAATAAGACTGTCAGAAATGCCTGAAAACATAGGTTACCGACTATGCTGAATCTCATGGCAACATTTGTTTTTCAAAGAAGTTCCAAAAACCTGGTGTAAACGTATAGTAGGTGGAATATCCCGTTTTTGCCTATTTTTGAGTAAAATCAAAAAATTCATAACCTAGTCAAGGTTCATCCAAATTATGTCACAATATCAATATGTACTCTGTTTTACCTTCTTTAAACGATTTTTCACTTGAGAATAATAAAAAAAACATTCTTGTACTTCGAGAGATTTTTAGAAAACCTTTTCAAAAGCCAAAGTATTTTATACAACGTTTTCTCTACATGTGAGTTACACCTTAAGTATTTCCCAAAAATTTTTAATATATTTCAAGCTAGAGAGTTCGAGTTTGTTTTATTTTAAACTAGACATCTAACTACATGGCTCGACCGGCGCCGATTTTTCAATTAGGTCTTAGTTTTTTGTCAAACTGAAGGAGAATGGCGGTTTGGTCGTCTATTACTTGAAGGAAGGAAATTATTCTCTCATCACCACCATCACTGGCAAGTGGCACGAATCATTCACGAAGGTCTGCGCCACTTTCTACTTGACGAATACGCCAGTAGAAATCATGCTAGAAAATAGTAAGGTTTTCTATCACGACAGCTGGCCTGAAGCAATAAGTCGGTTCATACTTATGTCGGTTGCTCTCGTATCACTTACAACCGTACTAGCACTGGCGTTAGCGTGGATCAGTACAGCTTTCAGCGCCGTTGCGGTATTAAATCGGCTCATCGGGAATTTTCGTCAAATGCAAGTGCTCACTAACATTTATCCTCCATCGACGGAGATCGTGCAGAATGCTTCCATAGATCTTGTTCTAACGCAACGGAAGATAAACCGAGAGACAAGAACGCACTTTGATGAAGACAAAACCAACTCGTTCGAACCCGGCGTACTTGGCACTAACACGAGTCATGTTGCGGTATCCCTGACAATATCGGCATCCACTATATTTCTTACGGTTATCACGATCATGCTTTGGATCGTCCTAACCTGCGCGTTAATCGCCGTCGCATTGTTATTAGTTCCCACCGCAATCTCCTTCCCCAAACCTGTGCGACGCAACTGGGGTCCTAAACCCTTGGTCTTGTTTTGATTTGATTTGTCTATTGTTTTACACGATACAGCATAACCATTTGTATGCAAATAAAAACAATTCTGAAGCAAAATCAAATAAATGAATTATTTAAATGCAAACCGGAAGGGATAATATCGCTCAATGCAGTAGATTCATATGCATATTTAGATTCAGACTCAGGTATATCTAATGATATTTTCCTTAAGGGTCCTAAACCATCATTGAATGTCGATGCAATACAAATATGGGATATCATTCAGTACATATAGGAAATGACCTAACTCACTAAATATAAATAACGTTCATCTGCGAGGGGCACTTAAAAACGTTCCCTCGTAGATAACTCAAACTGTTTAAAGTGAAGCAGCTTTAGAATCATCCATTAGATTGATGTACCTGAGAGAAAAGTCTTGAATAAAAATCTTAGTTCAGTCTTGCAAGACTTTTGAGAATTTTATTCGACATAGAAACAAAACAATAAAAGAAATTAATTGCTTTCAACTGCATTATAATAAATTGTGAAAAATCGACTTGTTTTTGTTTATGTAACCCAATAGAAGTGTTTTTTTTTGTTTTAGTATCTTTATATTTTTAAATTTTTGGACAAAGCCTATGGTGCGTTTATTTCAACAACTGTTATCAGTCGGTGGATCGCTGATTGATTTTGATCGGGGTAATTTTGTAACAACAGCACCGTGAGCACTAAGTTTCGAAATCATAGAACGATTACCTACTCGTTCCTTCAAGGCTGATTTCAAGATTTTTGATGCATTTATGATCCTGAGATTTTGTTGGTTTTCGTAGTTAGAATCAAAGTCGCCAGTAAATGCAGAAGACATGGACGACGGAAGGACACTACTAATAGATTTGGTACGTTTTACTTTAACGACACTGATTCGACCCGGAGCTCTCGTATCATGTGAACCCACTGTCTTATCTTCATTTGCAGAATTAACGTCAGCCATAATGTGCGAGTCTCGAGGCTTGTCATTCTGATATGTATCACGAGTTCCATCTGGCTGTTTCGAAGGAGTCATATATTCACTGACGGATTCCATACATTTTTCTTTCATGATACTAATTCGAACGGGAGCTTTCGAAGATATGTCGTCGGAGATACCAACCGACAGTTCTCGGGATTTATCCGTCTGCTGATTGGAAGAGTTCATTTTATTAACGTTGATCACTGTAACACGACTAGTGGAAACCTGTGAAGTAATCGTATCACATCGTTTTTTTCGCGTCTCACTGTTTTGATTGTTGCCATTGGCAGCAGTTTGTACGCCCAAAGATTTTGAACTTTCAACTTTTATCACACTGATACCTCCATTACTATCGGATCTTGTGGTTTTCAATAAATCTGCTTTTAGCGATTCATTATGCAACGCTTTAGCTCCAATGACCTGTGTTTGTGAATTTTCAGGCACCGAACTATTATTAACATTTTCATTTTTGGCTTTTGATTTATCTGTATTTTTAACTGTGATCACTCTAATGCCACCATTAGTTCTCGACGGTGGTTCTTTTTTAGTTTTACCAAATAGTTTATAAAGCATGTAATTACGGCTTGGTATACGAATCAATTCTTTAATTGGAATACTAACTTTTTCACTACTGATTGGTTCTTCTGATCGACAGGAGGTACTTTCTGTTGATGATTCTGAATTTTCAGAATTTCGTAACAAATACTTAAGTTTGTCTTTCTCTTCTTGTTTTCGTTTTCGACGACGAGTCAGTGGTCTCCTACAGCACGAAAACTGATAAATATTCCTTATCTACCAGCGAGATGCTTTTATGTAGATGTGTCTGATAGCTCGAAACACGACACATCTGTTCGCTGCTTCCACCCGCCCTAAGTCGTATCAGAAATGCTTTTCCGAAGACGCCAAATTTCGAAATATGTCAAAAATCGGCCGTCGTTCCGTCTAGGTTTGTTCAAAACAAGAACATTTCTCTGATGGCTTTTCTATAGTCATATATAGACGATATCAGGTTTTCTCACAACTTTTTTTCACGGTTTAGACGGAATTTTCAAAGTAAAATTAATGTTCAGAATCAGCACATATAAAATTGAATCAAATGAAGTGCCCAGTCGGTATATTTCAAAGAGTAAAATCTCTACAAGTCACCGAGAAAGGGAGAGCGTCCTTCGAAGAAAATTTAAAAGTTGTCGTTTCACCAGCTAAGTGTTTTGGAAACCAATTTAGTTTTGCGGCGTACTGCATCAGAATACCATAGTTTTTCTTAATGAAACGTTTTGTTACGATAACACTCTCACATTCACCTCACGGGGACGACAAGCTCCTTGTCTTCTTAGTGGTTACTGCACAGGCCTTTAAAACCTGAGGAACGTACTCACCGAAGTAAAATATACCACCAGCAACAGCAACAGGCAGAAAGAACCAGTAAGGCTAAGACAGACAAGCTAAGAATTAACGGGAGATTCACGTTATTCAACTTGGCTAAAATAAAATAAAAGTTGCACTGATCATTCGAAGTTAATAGTACGTATACGCACAAGTATTTGTTATTGAGATGGCTCTAGAATTTTAAATAAACATTATCGTTTTGTGGTCCTTCCTATGAGGGATCTTAGCTTACGTAGTCGTTTCTCCAGGACACAACGGGATGCTAGTTGCCCCAATATAAAATGTGATACAAAATTGATTCGACTGGACATTGTGGCTGTGTGAAAAAAGGAACGGAATTGATATACAAGAGAGCAACCAATACGATCACCTATCGACACTTTTTTCTACCGGGGGAGACGCGAGTTGATGGTAGCTAACTGCTCAGATTTATTCAAAAACCATTCGCTACAGGTTACGCTGGTGCTGTAGTGTATTTTGGCTAATGGTTTCCGAAAGGCTTTTAGATTTTTCGTGTAACAAACCCAAGTTGCTTTATGTTCCTAACAAACCATGTATGACTAGTTTATTCCACACACGTACCTGTCAATAGCCACGGCACACAATACTTGTGATCCGACTTCGGCAGCTTCTGGGATCCACGTCAGTGCCATGTACCAAATGGTCGACGAGTTTTGAGTTAGATTTCCTTTTGTTACAATCGGGAATGACTGTGTCCCGATATCAAGTATTGTCGTCGTATTATCGCAATTATTCTGAGCTACTAAATCTATTGAAAATGACTGACCAACTTGTGCGCCAACANCGTACCTGTCAATAGCCACGGCACACAATACTTGTGATCCGACTTCGGCAGCTTCTGGGATCCACGTCAGTGCCATGTACCAAATGGTCGACGAGTTTTGAGTTAGATTTCCTTTTGTTACAATCGGGAATGACTGTGTCCCGATATCAAGTATTGTCGTCGTATTATCGCAATTATTCTGAGCTACTAAATCTATTGAAAATGACTGACCAACTTGTGCGCCAACACATGAACCGGCTACAGCAGTACTGCTGTACAATAACGGGGGAATGGGACATGTCGGTGGGGAATAAATGTAGATTAAAAACTGAATGGGAACTGAACTGAACGGCGTCGTGCTAGTTGTATCCAGAAAATCTTCAGCCTAAAAAAAACGAAATGCTCATGCAGTAACTCTCCAATCAAAGCTCGAGCTCAAATACCTGCAGAGCAGCCACAAAATAGTCACCGGCATGAGTACCTGTAATAATCAAAGTGCAATTCGGTAAGATGGTAGTACCGGCTGGAAGCGAAGCTGGTGGACAAACATCGGCACATTCGGTTCCCGAAGCAAATCGACATTTCACGTAATCGTTATCAGCATCGATGGTCGGGATTGCAATGTAGTAAGTGGTGTTTACCGGAATAAAAATCGGAGAGACCATTGTTGCAACGGGCGGCGTATTTATGAGACCATCTGGCCTTAGTCTCAAATCAATTAAACACGTTATACTCCAAGCATTTCCGCCGTTATTGGAGAATAGTGCCAATGTTCGCCATGAACTTGAGTTAAATACTACCGTGAAATAAGCGTTGGCCGAGAGTGTAACCAAATCCGATCGTTGTCCAACTGTCAGACCCAAAGACGCACTACAATCCGTATAGTAGCCGGTCATCGGGATGGGAACATAGCCACCTGATGTTGTGCAATTCAAAAGACAATTTAGCATAGCACCAAAATCTGAACGTCCAGCCAGATTCACTTGCGTTTGGGAGGCGATATCAGCATTTGTGCATGATATTGCTGCAAAACGATACATGTATGTTTGGGTTATTCTTATAGTTATCGATGATCCATTAACGGCTGACTTATCCAAAGGTTTCCAGGTTATTGTTCCACCTTGAAAATGAGTCGACTCCACAAAAGTTATGGCTGTTGCCAGTAGTATCAAATAATACCACATATCTGTGACAAAGCAGATTTAGAACACATCATCAGGAAATTCTTTTTAGGAAACATGTAATAAGGCTCCATTTCTTTCGTACGTCACAAACGGAGATTTCAGAGTAGTACAGCAGTAGGAGTCCTCATATTCATATTCGGAATCAGCATCATCGATAATCTATAACCTACTAGGTTTCATTGAAAAAGTTAAAATTTAAAAACGTTCCCTCGTAGATAACTCAAACTGTTATCAAACTGTTTAAAGTGAAGCAGCTTTAGAATCACCCATTAGATTGATGTACCTGAGAGAAAAGTCTTGAATAAAAATCTTAGTTCAGTCTTGCAAGATTTTTGAGAATTTTATTCGACATAGAAACAAAACAATAAAAGAAATTAATTGCTTTCAACTGCA